TTCAGACTCGTCCGAAAGCGAGTATTCCGCGGCGCGCGGCAGCAAGCCGCTAAGCAATCCGATGTCGAGCTCTCGCACGACGCCGCGCGTCGGCAAGCGACTAATCGAGATGCTGCCGGGCCCGCTGGACTTCTTGAACGACGTCCGCTCTCTTATGCTGTCGCTCACTCAAATTCAGTTCATCTGCTCGAACAAAAAGCTGATTCCCCTCGCGAGCCCGACGCACGCCGTGCTCGAAGACTCTAAGCGCGTCGCTGAAATAGCAGTGGTTTTTGCCGAGTTCGCGACCCACGTAAACGAGGTGTTCCACGAGTACGAAAAAGACTACCCCTTTCGGCAGGCGCAGCTGCGCGAGGTTAAAGACCTCGACTTTTTCATTCGCAAGGCGCTGCTCGGCCGTTGCTACCAGCTGTTGCGCACGGACTACTGTCACGCGCTTTCGCAAACCATCCACCGCTTCTTCCACCGAAAGTACTCGGCGTGTTTGGCCTGCCCGCAGCTGGTGATATCCGAGAGCGACTCGAGCATGAACATCATCGAAAAACTTAACGTCGTGTTCCCGAAAAAACCGAGCGCAGACTTCGCAATTGACTCGGCACTCATTGAGCAATTCGTGCAGCGCCGCAGAGAGCGCGACGTGCTGCGACTTATCGAGAGCCAAGACGTCAACTTCGACGACTACATCGCAAACTACGAAGCGCAGCTGAGCTCGCGCTGCCGCGCAATCCTCGACCAAAGCGGAGACCGCTTCGTCGCGCAGTCGCAAGCGTCCGACGCCGTTGCGGAGTTTTTGCTCAAAATCAAGTACGAGGTGCGCAAGGCGTTTTGCGCAAAGTTCGAAAGCGCGCTTCAGTGGCGCAGCAAGAACGCGCAAAACGCGTACGACCTTGCTCTAGGCGGACCCGAGTTCGCTGACCAGCTGCACCGCGGACTGCTTGTGCTGCGCAGCGACCGCATAATCCCGCAGCACATTGCCAGCGCATTGCGGCTTGGGGAAACGAAGACGGTCCCTTGCTTTGGGGGCATCGAGCTCTGCTGCCCGTCCGCGACCAAAACTCGCCCATGCCGGTCAGTTGTGCGCAAGAGCATCTACAACCCCAATGCATACAGCTCGGCTTTTTTGAAAAAAGCAACATTGTTGCGCAAATTGGAGACGCAGAGACACATGCCGCTCAGCCCACTGCTAACCGAATAGTGCTTGCTTCAATGCCATTTTTAAATATCGCCGTTTGCGCGCAAGCAAAGCGCGTGTGAGCCAGTCCGGTCGCCGTCCCGTCGAGAGTTTGCCGCAGCGGCGCTGCATTTTCAGAAGTGTTTAGTCGTGCATAGCACACAAACCTCAGCGCAATATAGGCCGCGGCGCCGCACCCTCGACGCTCAGAAAGTCGCCGCCTCCCTTCGCAGCGCTCGCAGAGTGCCGGCAGACAGCAGCGTAGTTCGGCACACTGCGAGCGCGGGCTCAGCGCGCAGCGTAAAGTTGCGACCACAGTAGACGCCCGGCAAAGCGCTTGCGTGAGAAGCGCTTGTCGCAGCTCGCTGCTTGAAAGCAAGCGTCGGGCGAGTGCGGCGCTCACATCATGCCGCCGAACATAGCCGGCTCCTCAGCAGGCTCTTCTTTGCGCACCTCTTCGTCCTCTACGACGTCGAGGAAGTCCTGGATGATGTTGACGGCTAAGCTTTGGATGCGCGGCTTGTCGTCCCAGTATTGCATGTCTTCGAGGTACTCGAACGCATTCGCTTCTTCGAAAAGAATGCAGAAGGGGTTTTCGAGCAGGCCTTTACGCCGCATCAGCGTGACGCCGCTCTCGAGGATTTTGCGCGCCGCTTCGAGCATGATATGCACCAACTTCACTTCGTGCGAAGCGAGCATTGCGCACAGGGGCGGGATGACTCCAATGCGTACGAGCTCCTCGATCTGTTCGACGGTCGCGCCGTTGGCGGCGTTGCATATAGTCCAAGCTGCTTCGCGGCGCGACTCGAAGTCGCCGTCTGCGAAAATCTCGCACACCTTCGCGAAAACGTTGCAGTTGAACAATTCCTGCACCTGTGCGACGGTGCCGGCCGCAATGTTGCTGATCGCCCAACACGCCTCCTTGCGAATTGTGCGCTTCGGACTGTCGAGCAGGTCGCGCAGCAGAGGCACGCAGTTGTAGCGGATCAAAATTTCAGTCTGGTCGTCGTTACCCGTAAGCAACGTGCCGACGCAGCGCAAC